TCCCTCATTTTTGTTTGTTCTTCTGTACATAGTGTGTCTTTTTATTCTGGCTGATTAAATATGATTACTGGTTTTAAGCAATTTGATTTTGATATGCCATTATGTATTTTTCTTAACATTTCTTGCGCTTGGGGTTCATTGAGCTTCATGGATCTGTAAGTTTATAGTTTTTCTCCAATTTATAAAAATTGCGGCCATTGTTTCTTTGAATACTTTTCTGTCTCCCCACTCCTCTCCTTTGGGAACTCTAATTGCACATATATTAGTGGGCTAAAGTCCCACAGCTCACTGATGCTCTCTTTATCTCTTTTCAGTTATTTTTTCTTTTTCATTTTAAGTCGTTTCTATTTCTATGTCTTCAAATTCACTAATCTTTTCTTCTGTAATGTCTAATCTGCCATGCCATTAATGACATCCAGCGTACTTTTTATTTCTAAAGTTTCTTTTTATTTCCACTTAAAATCAAATACCACAAATGACATTAAAGATGCTCAACATCATTAATCAGGGAAATGCAAATCAAAAACACAATAGATACCACTTCACACTCATTAGGATGGTTATCGAAAAATAAGAAATAACTAGCATTGGTGAGTATGGGGAGAAATTGGAGTCCTTGTGTAGCTGCTGTGGAAAACAGTTCCTCAAAGAATTAAACAATTACTATATGATCAAGCACTCCCACTTCTAGGTATATACCCAAAGGAAATGACAGCAAAGACTAACATTTCATTATTCACAACAGCCAAAAGGTGAAAACAAGCAAAGGGTCCATTAACAGATGAATGCATAAACAAATGTGGGCTATACATACAATAAAATATTATTCGGCCTTAAAGAAAATAAATTCTGACACATGCTACAACGCAGATGAACCTGGAGGGCATTATGTGAAGTGAAATAAACTAGTTACAAAAGGACAAATACTGTATGATTATATTTCTATGAGGTACCTAGAATCTTTGAATTCATGGAGGCACACTACAACAGTGGTTACTAGTGGCTGGAGGGAGGAGAGAATGGGGAGTAGTTTAATGGGTACAGAGTTTCACTTAGGAAAGATGAAAAAGATGGATGGAGGCAATGGTTGCACAACAATGTGATGTACTTAATGCCATGGAACTGTGCACTTAAAAATGGCTAAAAAGATAAATGTGACTATTTTACTACAATAAAAATAAAATCACAAATTCTTACCATCACCCCTGGCTTCCTCTTTAACCTCACCTACCAATCTCTTCCCCTCATTCACCAGGCTTCAGTCATATTGACATCCTTACTGAACCAGGAACATAGTATGTATTTCTTGTTTTCTCTATCTGCCATGCACTTTATCACGTCTCTGCTCAAATAGTCCCCACAAAACCTTCCTGACTACTCTAAAGGATGAAAAATAACATTCCCTCTACCCTTCTGAGTTCTTGGCTGAGATCCCTGTAATGAAAGACAGGTTAACAAGAGAAAAACAAACAGGTTTGTTTACATGAATACCTCATGTGTACATAGGAGACACCCAGGGAAAAATTAGTTAAATCCCTGAGGTTGCTTAGAATTCAGGCTTAAATACCATTTTAATAGGAAAAAGGAGGGGCAGTGTAGGCGTGTTAAGGAAGAGTAAATGATTTTTAGGAAAGATGAATGAGCCCTTTGCAGAATAGATGGGAGATAAGATAGTATGTGACAAAGTTTATCTGGAAGTGGTGTCCACTTCTACTTTCAAAACTCCTGGGGAGAGGATTTATGATAGTTGAGTTCCCTTTGGAGGATCTGTCTTTAGGCAGATAAGGGGGTACTCAGAGAATGCTCATCCTTGGATTTGCTATTTTTCAAGTGCCTACACCTCAAAATAATATACCAATGCAGCAAATTTTGGAGTGGCACACACTGAGTATCTACAGACATTTTAGGATGGCATATTCTACTATCCTTCACTAGAATGTAAACTCCATTACCACAGAGACTTTATTTACTGCTATGAACAACCCTGGCACATGATAGGTAGTCAGTAAATAGTGGTTAAATGAATGTTCCTTTCCTGTAACTTAGACACATATTATTTGTATACTGCAACTTTAATATCAAAAGACAAAAACCCTGGGAATCAAATTAACCAAGGAGGTAAAAGACCTGCTCTCAGAATATTATAAGTCATTGAAAAAAGAAACTGAAAAAGATACAAATAAATGAAAGCATATACTATGCTCATAGGTAGGAAGAATTGACATCATTAAAAGGGCCATACTACCCAAAGCAATCTATAGATTCAGTGCAATCCCTATCAAAATACCAATGGCATTTTTCACAGAAATAGAACAAATAATCCTAAAATTTATATGGAACTGTAAAATACCCCGAATAGCCACGGCAATCTTGAGAAAGAAGAAAAAAATTGCAAGTATCACACTACCTGACATCAAACTATACTACAAGCCTACAGTAATCAAAACAGCATGGTATTGGCATAAAAACAGATACATTGATCAATGGAACAGAATAGAGAGCCCAGAAATAAATCCACACCTATACATTCTCCTAATATATGACAGAGGAGGCAAGAATATATAGTGGAGTAAAGACAGTCTCTTCAATAACTAGTGCTGGGAAAATTGGACAGATACATGCAAAAAAAAAGAAGGAAAGAAGGAAAGAAAGAACTGTACTACCTTCTTACACCATATATAAGAATAGACTCAAAATGGATTAAAGACTTAAACGTAAGATCCGAAACCATAAAGCTTCTAGAAGAAAACATAGGCAGTAAATTCTCTGACACTGCTAACAGTAATTTCTTTTCAGATGTATCTCCTTGGACAAGGGAAACAAGAGAAAAACATCCGACTACATCAAACTAAAAAGTTTTTGTAAAACGAAACCATCAACAACAACAACAAAAAAGACAACTGACTGAATAGGAGAAGATATTTTCTTACGATACATCTGATAAGAGGTTACTATCCAAAATATATGAAGAACTCATATGACTCAACAACAAAAAAACAATCTAATTTAAAAATCGAGCATGAGACCTGAACAGATATTTCTCCAAAGAGGAAATACAGATGGCCAATAGACATGAAAAGATGCTCAAGGTCACTAATCATCAGAGAAATGCAAATTAAAACCACAATGAGATATCACCTCACACTTGTCAGAATGGCTATCACCAATAAATCAAAGAACAAGTGTTAGCGAGGATGCAGAGAAAAGGGAACTCTCACACACCATTGGTAGGATTGCAAATTGCTACAGTCAGCATGGCAAACAGTCTGGAGGTTCCTCAAAAAATTAAAAGTGGATATACTTTTTGACCCAGCAATTGCACTTCTATTTATCCAAAGGAAACCAAAACAATAATTTGTAAAGATCTATGCACCCCTATGTTCATGGCAGCACAATTTACAATAGCCAAGATATGGAAGCAACCTAAATGGCCATCAACAGGTGATTGGATAAGGAATTTATGCTTCATGTATACAATGAAATCCTTCTATTAACATGGATGGACCTAGAGGTTATTATGCTGAGTTAAATGTCAGACAAAGATAAATACCATACGATTTCACTTATATGTGGAATCTAAGGAACAAAAAGAACAAAATAATCAAAAACAGACTCACAACTATAGAGGATAATCTGGTGACACCCAGAGAGGAGTGTTGTTGTGGGGCTGGGAGAAAGGGGTGAAGGGTTAAAGAAGTACAAATTAGTAGTCGATAGATGGTCACGAGGATGGGGAGCATGGCATAGGGAATGCAGTTAGCATTAATGTAATGGCTAGGTGGAGAGCCAGGAAAGAGAGCAATCAGGGGGATCATTTCATAAACTATATAAATGTCTAACCAATGTACTGTACATGCGAAACTAATAATAAAATTAAATTTACAAAAAAAAAGACAAAAATCCCGGATTGCTTAAGTTCTGTGGTATAAACTTTTAGCATCCAAAAGAAAAAGTGTACAAGGAACATAAATGGTTAAATGGTTAAAAGGTTAATGTGGAGGCCAGTTCCTTGAAATGCAGGAAGGAGTGGAGGAGCGGGGGTGCTGTAAACCAACTGCCATTATCCATTGTTCTTAAGATTGTCCAAAAGAAGCCATCTCCTTTACTGAGGGAATCTAACAACACTAACACATCCCCAATGTCAACATAAACATTCAAACCAGTAGAGAATTTTTATTAGTTTATTTGAGCCAAAGTGATGACAAATGCTAGAAAGCAAAATCTCAAGGGATTGAGAAAATGCTCCAGAGAATGGCAGTTTAGAAGATTATACATTAGAATCAAAGAGACATAAGAAGGGTGACATGAAATCCAATGGTGGTAGATTAAGGGGGAGGGAGATATCAAAGCAGGGCAATCTCTGAGACTGAATAAAAAGTAAAACTAAGAGACACTTCTTTACATTGGTAGGTACATGATAGTAATTAACATTTACAGCGCATAGAGCTGGTATTCAGAGAACAAAATAGTGCTCCTGCTCTGGTGCAGTGGGTGTGCCCTGAGGGCTCTGGAAAAGCTTACTCTGACATTTCAAAGGTGTGTTAGCTTAGATGGAAAAACACAACAGACACGCTCACTTATGGTAAAGCCTGACCTTTGTTAAGGAAACTACAGGCCTAAGACATGACTATCTGCCATGACCAGCTTTTATTCAGGAATTTTTACGTTCAGAACACCCTGTGTGGTTACTTTCAGTCTGAGTTTATGCCCACCATACTGGCCTCTCCCGAGCTTGTCAGGTTTAACATGTGGCCCCTTTTTCATCCACACCAAATACCAACTACAAGCATTTTTGGCAAGACCTACGGATGGGATGACAAATGGGAAACCTGGAGCCCCAGAGATAATAGCAATTCCTCACCCACAGACAAGTACTCAACAGAGGGGCCACGTAGGTAGAGGGCCGCTGGTACACTCTCTGGCCCACATCTCTATGGTAGGACGCTAGAAAACCGGAAGTGGGCTGCCCCCGGTTGGGGAAGAAAGCCAGGGGCGGGGCTTGGAGGGGCGGGGCCTCTGCCGCCAACTCCGCTGTTGACCGAGGCGAGATGGCGGCCACCGAGGGTGTCGGAGAGGCTACGCAGGGCAGCGAGCCTGGTCAGCCCGAGCCGCCACCGCCCCAGCCGCATACCCCGCCGTCCCAGCAGCAGGATGAAGTGATGGCAGCCGAGGCGGGAGAAGCAGTGGCGTCCCCTATGGATGACGGGTTCCTGAGCCTGGACTCACCCACTTATGTCCTGTACAGGTAACGCCCACAGCGGGGCCTCTGAGTCGGAGGCCCTTCCCTCGGGGGCGGGGGGGTTCAGTTGGGTAGCGGTTCCGGGTCAGCGTGTCTGACCGAAGTTTCCGCGGCCTCGCTGTGGGGTTGTCCGGGGCCGCGCTCTGCGGGGTCAGGGCCCGCCCGCGGCCCTTGCGCTCTTGTAGGGGTTGGTGCTTCCCCGGAGCCAACTCTGTCACCGAGAGTCAGGGAAGCGGCTGGACACAAAGCAGCGTAGAAACTGCAGAACACTGGACAGCACTCTCAGGCTGTTTAGGTGTCGTGATTCAGGAATTTTAAGAAATCTCCCGCTCTCTTCCATGCTCCCAACAAAGATAGCCTGCCTGGTAGCCTGACTGAATACGGAAGGGTTTGGGTGCATTGTGATAACCTGGTAGGAAATAATGATTTAAATAAGGTCCAGATTTGCTCACTTTAAAAACAAGATGTAGGAGTTTCTCACGGTTTGTTCTGCTGAAACGGAGCGAGCTAGTATAAGATCTTTAGGACTGGGACATCGTCAGTCAACATTTTAGCGCCTAGCATCAGCCGGACACCTACTTAGGCTGTAAGGATGAAAAGATATTTATTTGTTCCTTAAACTTTAGTATACATCCCATCACCTCGTACATAATACAAGTAGGCAGTTGTTGGGTACTGCTGTAATTCTCTTGCCTTTCCTCCCCTTCTTTGCCAACATCCAGCCCTATCCCCTCATCAGTTCTTTGCTTTCTTATAATAATGCTGGTTCCCTAGCTCCAACTGAACCTGCAGAGAAGCGAGAAGTCCTTAGGTCTTATTTTTCTTTTGTCTTATTTTTTTCCACTGTAGTTCTAGGTAACCCATTAGATGGCTTATTTGCCTTGTTTTTATGAATGAGTGAAAGTCACTGTCCAGATTTTGTTATTGGAATTAATGTTTTACTGTTTTAAATTGGTTGGGGTGGCCCCATAACCCTCAAACTTCCCCTCTGAATTGTGAAATACTCACCTTATTCACTTGGCTATGTCTGATTTCCCAGTGACTAAATAACAGCCTTACCTTTCTCATGCCACTTTCCCAGGCACTAGGTCTCACATCTCAGGTAATTTTTTCCCTTGTATTTCTCCTTATGTAGTGGACATAATTTCAGGATTGTCTGGATGTCACAGAATCTTTGCTGTCAATAGCTGATCAGTATAGAGAACTAAAAAATTGGTGAAAGGAAAAGAATGTAAGTAAAGTAGTTCAAACAAATTTGGTCACACAGGGCAGTTCACACAAATGTCTGTAGGCACTCGTTGTTGCCACTATAATGTTATTTTAGCATTGATAAAGAGAGTAGTCATTGAATGCTTACTATATGCATTTATCATTTATAATATGTAGCATATAAATATTTAAGATAGCAATATTATATAGTTACTGTATACTATATGCTTACTATTATGCACTTAAGTGCTTGACTTAATCCTCCAAACAGCCTTCTAAGGTTGGTTGGTTATATTATCAATTCCATTTTATAAGTGAAGAAACTGAGGCCCAGAGAGGTTAAATAACTTTTTCAAAGTCACACAGCTAATAAGTGGTAGAGCCAATATTTCAACTCAGATAGTTGTCAGATTCCAGAACCTGCTCTCTAATGATCACTTAGACCACTTTTCAGTATACAGTAAATTGTTTACTTTGATTTTAAAATTGTCAGTTCCTAGTAAATTGTTTTTCAAATTTTTTAAAATGATGACTCCAGAGTCATATTAGACCAATGAAATAAATTGAGTTCTAGTTTAAAACTATTATGCACATGATGCAGAAACATGTTTTTCCACTTATGTAAAAACTTTAAATTTGAAAACTTAATTTATTAATTAGAAGATTATTCATATTATTTTTATTTTAAAGTTTAATATGTAAAGCAGAGTTGCAAAACTTGGTCATGAAGACTCTATAAGCTATGGTTATATTAAGATATTTATAAGCTACTAGTATTAATGTAAGTGTAATTGTTGCCATTTTTAAAAGCACTAGAACTCCTTTTCTTATATGTTTGAATATAATCACTGAAAAAGTATATATATTTCAGGGACAGAGCAGAATGGGCTGATATAGATCCAGTGCCACAGAACGATGGCCCCAATCCAGTGGTCCAGATCATTTATAGTGAAAAATGTAAGTTTATTTTTATTAGGAAAAGGTCTGTAAGTCACACTTAGTAGCAGAGTTTAAATTCACAATTATATGGCCAGATAGATGATAGATTTTTGTCTAATAAAGATCTAAATGACTTACGATAAGCTAACATAAGTGTTCTTTTGTAATTTTTATGATTAAAAATTTTATTTTCTACAGAGTGGACATATTCTAAGTATAAGCAATGAATGTTATAATACATAATAGCTATTGCATAATTGTGCTTTTTATTTACTATTTAATATGCATGTAAGATAAAAACAAATGAGCTACTGTTTTATTTAGAAAACCTTGGTTGCTGAAACATGAGCATATTGAAATATATTTTGGCAATGAAGTGTTAGGCTCAGTTGGAATACATTTACTGATATTAAAATGAGTGGATTATTTTCTTTCACAAAGTATCATTCTTTCATAATGAATGTGAAAATGCTTTGTAAATTGAAGGTCATGTAAATGTGAATTGTTAGTTGTTCTTTTAGGAAAGAAATGAATAAAATGGAATGTAGTTTTGTGGTTTTATATGTGTGCCTATATATATATCTTTCAATTAAGGCTTTGTTATCCAAGATCATTCCTTTGCTACAGAAGGCGTTTATTGTTTTTTCCAGTTATGAAGTAATGCCAAGAAATGTTTGAAGAGGAAGAATAATGGTGTGAGGGTTTGCCTTACCAAATATGAAAATGTGCTACTAAAAATAACATGTGAAACTGGTGTAGAAATAAATAGATTAATAAGGTACCTAAAAATACATCATCAATATAAATGGGAACTTAATATTTGATAAAAGGGACATCTCATAACTATATTAAAAACATGCATTAATCAAATAATGCTTTTGTAACAGTTGGCTATGCATTTGGATATAAGCAAAATTATATCCCTATCTCATATCTTACATGAAAATAAATTACAAAAGAATTAAAGTTCTAAAATAAAACTGTAAACATACTAGGAGCAAATATTAGAGAATAATCTTTCATTCTTGGGTTGAAGAGAAAATATTAGTAGGCAAGATATAAAACTCAGAATTAAGGAAAAGATCAGAAGGTATAACTGCATAAAAATGCAAAACTTCCACACTGAGAGATGTTATATGTGAAGATATAATTCACTAGAAGAAATAGAAATATCGATGAAGAGATGGTAAAATCACTAGTGATCAGAGAAACGAAGACCACAATTTATTTCAGATTCATAAGGTACCTATAACTAAAGATGTTGGAGAAAACTGATACAATCATACATTTCTTTTGAGGTTAAAAATAAGAACATTTTTTGCAGGGTAAAAAAAACAACATATTAAACGCTTACATATATCATGATAAGAAGCCACAAAGGAAATGATAGAGAAATATAACCTGCTGATCAAAAATTGATAGGTGAATATATCAAAATTTAAAATTTGTAAAACAGAAGACACCATGAACAATTAAAAGGCAAGGAGAAATATGCGAAAAGATATACCATACAAAACAGGACTGATATTTAGAGCTTTATAAGGAATTCCCACAAAAGGTTAAGGAAACAGACTAATCAAAAAATGAACAAAGAATATGAACTAGCAGTTCACAGAGAAAATTCCATTGGCCATTAAATAGGGGAAAAATCCATTATCATTGGGAATGAGAGATATGCAAATTAAAATGGGAATGCCATTTTGTACACATGAATTAAATAGAAGGTAAAACTCTATATCAGCTCTCAGGACATATGAACAGATACATATATTTCAGATGGTAATTTTCATATATTTAGCCACTTTGGAAAGCAGAGAAATGCTCATATGTAAAGCTGGAAAATGCCTGTATCTTAAAACCTTGAATTGTCACTTCTATGATACATTCTGGGTTCACTCTGGCATATGACATCAGAAGACATGTACTAGGAGATTAAGAGCGCAGACTTCAAAGGCAGACCACCTGGTTCAAATTCTAAGTTCATTTTGCTAGCACTGTAACCTTGGACAAGGTATTTAATTTTTAACCTCTCTGTACATCTATTTCCTCTATATCCATGCTTTGGAGAATGAGTAAATAAAATATATTCAACTGTATAACCATTAAGAGGATCCAGATCTGTTATAACATGGACAGATCTCACAAACAAGGCTGAGTGAAAAAAGACACAAGTTCTTAGAAACTTTGTGGCTGTGACACTAAAGCATTATCAGGGTGGCATTCACATAGTTATTTGACTTTCTTTTGCTTATTCTAAATAATGGAGTAAAATATCTTTCCTCATAAGTTATAACAGTTTATATTATAATGCTAGTTTTAAACAAGAAAGATAGTCCTAATGCAGTTTTGTGCTCCGTTTGTAGTTAGAGATGTTTATGATTATTTCCGGGCCGTTCTGCAGCGTGATGAAAGAAGTGAACGAGCTTTTAAACTAACAAGAGATGCTATTGAGTTAAATGCTGCCAATTATACAGTGTGGTAAGTAATACACATTATTGATATTCCCTCTTTAAATGTCTCATGTTTTAGTTTAGATAGCTTTTCTTTTTCTTAACTGAACTTTAATTTTTATCGAAATAATTTACATAGGAGTTTAGAAGTTGAAGACTGAATGAAAAATAAGTCTCTGCCTCATTCTGTCTTACCACCAGAGTCCCACTCCCCAGAAGTAACTCTTAGTTGTTTTTTCTCGAATTAACCTATATATTCTAAATAATATGCTTATGTAGTATTTTTTCATTTTAGACATTATTCCTTCTATGGAAGATACAGAGTTCACTCTCCACTACACTTGTTTTATTTATAAGTAGCATTTTTGTGGTGGTTTGAAAAGTAAAATATGTGATAATGTAAATAATTATTTAAATGAACAAGCTGTACCATATAGGGAA